GTTAAAACGACTTTCAGTGACTTTCAGGTCAAACGGTTGAACGATTTCAACCCACTGTGGCTTGGATATGACCTAGGCGGGCGGAGAGCGTACTTGCAGAAGGGGATTGTGGATAATGGGTTGTCTCCGTTGGTCCAGTAGCCACCCACCGTAACGGGATGTACACAGCCCGGAGACGGCAGACGATGGCATGTCTCTGCTTGAGCCTGGGGCGGGTGCCGGCGTGATGCTAACGGCACGGCCAGTCGGTCTCCCTCAGAGAGTCACGCCTGCGACTCTGAGCTGTTTCTGTTTAGAAATTCCTCTCGTGCCAGATTATCTCCATATTTATCTCCCACAACAAAAGCTGTCTCCAAATGGGGGGAGGGGCCGTGAGGGCAGAGCAGGCCACAGCAGTGTGCCGTGTCCACGGATTCTTCCTGCCTTTGATCTGTGAGAAGGTAATCCCCTCCTTTTTGAATGTTGCCTGGAGGGTGGGAGTGCCTCACATTCCCACTCTCGGTCATTAGGGGGCTCCCTGAGCAGCTTCGTATTCATCCGTGGCATCGTTTTGGTCTTAGCCCCCGTCGTTTTCCGAGCACCCCGCCTCCCTACTCATGCCTGTGCGCTGCATCACAGGCAGTAGCGACACCCCGCTGTTGTCTCCAATGGCCCGCCGGGTGCCATTGCTAGTGATGACCTACCATGGCACAGCGCCCCCTGCTGGCAAGGTGTTCCAACTCAGTTCAGCCTGCTGCAACCACATTTAGTGGCTCTAAGTACTTCTCTGGTGATTATGAACATTGCATGTCTGCTGCTGTTGCCGCGGTCGGCTGTTTGCATTCCCCCCCCCCCCCCCCTCCAGCCCCCCTAGTTTCAGGTGAGCCACAGCTGGGCACCTTGCCAGCTGTCTGCATCCCATTTGTGGAGGAGCCTTTTAAAAGGCAATTAAACCACAGAAACATGGTGCGGTATGGGGGGGGGCTCAGACAGAGACTGCTTAATCACTTGCATCCCTTGCCGGCCCCAGTGCAGACCCACCCCCCCGTGACATTTTGTGTCCCTTTGATAACAGCAAGGAAATATCATGTTTCCCTACTGTTAGTAGTGGGGGTGTCTACACCCCTATAGCCACAAAGCATCTTATTACATCGCAGGAAAGCATGCGTAAAGGCCTGCATCAGCCGCAGCGTTACATGGTGCACACTGTCCCTCCCGTGGCGAGGGGGGGGGGGTTTTCGGCAATGCTGAGAGGGGAGACTTGCCATTTATTCACTCGGAAAGCGGAACCGAGCACAGGCCCCTGATGGGGGTGAGATCTCGCCCTCAATCGGCGTGCCATTCAGCCTCCTGCGGTCACGTTTGGACTATTGTCAGACTGGGTGTGGTGGCGTTTTTACGTTTTCAAATTGGGTGTGGTCGCATTTGAACTGGTGTCAGACTGGGTGTAGTCGCGTTTGGATGACTGTCAGACCGGGTGTGGTCGCGTTTGGATGACTGTCAGACCGGGTGTGGTCGCG